GTAGACAAAAGAAGCTGATGTTCCTTGTCTACCTTTTTTTTCTGCTTCAGATTGATGGTGGATATAGGAACTTAACCTGTTTCATTTGCTCAGCTGGTAACTGCAAAAACATATTCAATTTGTAGTAATGCTGTGTACAGATAGGTACAGTATTCTGTACCATGTGTTCTATGACTACAGATGAGCAAAATGTTTAAAGATCAGTGTTTATTTTCAAGATGCTTAGGAGGGTGTTTGTTTGTTTGTTTCTGTTTGTTTTGGATTTTTTTTTTGTATGTAAGAGCAGGATATACTTCACTCAACAGCAAAGAAGTTTTTAATTTTTCAGTTTAGAGACCCACCTACTCAATACTTCAGGCCAGTGATCTATATTGTAGTTCAACGAAATACCCTCAGTTTCTACGTGTAGCAGCCCATCCATGCATGTCTTTTCTCTTCCTTCTTCTGCACTTCTGTCTGGACAAGTAAGGAAAAACAACCCTATTTTGATGTTATTTCTAGTGTTGCTGTTGAGTTGAGGAAATGCAGGTAACCAAGAAGTTATGTTTCTGTGTGTCATGCTCAGTGCTCCATGCCAGAGAATTGCTGAAAGGGAAATATATAGCAGGCTCAAGATTAAAGGTATAACTATTATAGTTCCACATTGGGTGTTATTTGTTTTTGGTTTGTCTCAAAAACAGGTAGACCGTCATTTAAGAAAACTGGACCAGGAACTTGCCAAATTTAAAATGGAACTTGAAGCAGATAATGCTGGAATAACGGAAATATTAGAGAGACGTAAGTATGCTTTCTTTTCGCAAAGGACATTGGCAGGTTTTCTGTCATTTTGAGAAATGAAAATACCATAAATTTGTTAGTGGCCTGTAATATTTGCACTTTTGATCTCAAGTTTTAGTTCCAGCTTCAATGCTAATTGGCCATGTTGAAATACCGCTGAATATTTAGAGTTACTCTTTCTTTCGCAAAACAAGTGCGAAAAAGAAAACTGCAAAATAAGTGTTTTGGTGAAATAGTAGCTACGTAAAAGGGCAACTATTTTATTTTATTTGGAATCCAAGTTAACAGTGTTATGATACTGTTTTTCAGTTGAGTCATGTGATTGCCAAGGTACATAAAGACAATTTTGAGAACTTATGTGTACTGGACTTCCTACTACATCTCTGAAATATATTTTTTAATAAGATGAAAAGTAGAAATCTCTTTACATGTTAGCAGTCAGGGTAAACATCTGCTGTTGATGTTCCGCCAGAGGGCAGCCTTTTAACTAGTTGATAACGTGGTTAATATTTGCTCAGCCAAGTGGCCTACGAGCAGCTCGTTGGAATGGCAGGCACAAGGTGGGCAATGTTGTCGTGTCTTCATTGCCTCTGGGTTTAACCTCTTGATTTCAATAATTGTACGGTAGCAGTCATGAATTTTTAGTTTAAAACTGTTTTTACTAGCTAACTTCTTTTTCTACTTTGATAATGATTTAAAAAATCGTTCTGGTTAAAATAAATGCAATTGCATAGCAATTTGATAAATATTTTAAAGATTCATATAGTATATAAAAGGAAAAATCTTTTCAATTATAACTTTCAAAATTTCCTCTCCTTTTTAACTCTGTGTTAGGGTCTCTGGAGCTGGATACACCATCACAGCCTGTGAATAACCATCATGCCCATTCACACACTCCAGTAGAGAGTAAGTTCTTGTGGCTTAAACATATTCACATTTAAAGTTTTCATATTTGTTTTCAAGTAATGCTAGAAAAAAATATCCTAAGTGTTATGTGTATTTTTTCGTGACAAACACTCAGAGGTGGTCAGTCATAGTGCAATGATGATTTCCGTTTAGAGGAACTTCAGGAATGAAATAACAAGCCTTTACTGGAGGATTTTAGTTTAAAATACTGTTTATTATCTGTGGTTATAGTTTTAGACTGAAAAGCTTTTGCATTGAAGTTCACAACACTTGTTTTATTTAGAAAGGAAACACAATCCATCTTCTCACCATAGTACAACAGATCATGTTCCTGAGAAGAAGTTTAAATCTGAAGCTCTTCTATCTACTCTCACTTCAGATGCTTCTAAAGAGAATACACCAGGTAATCTTAATTGTCATTGCATTTTATTATTTTTTAATGATGGAATGTCCTGTTTTGTGAGATCATAAGGGCTAATATGTTTTTATGGTTTCTCAGTCACTTGAAACATGAAAAATTGGAGGCAGTGTTATCCATCTGTAATGTAACAATATTCATCTGTCCATTAAGCATATCAGGGTTTTTGTCATTTGTCAACTGGTGTTTGCTTGCAAGAAGTAGCAATACAGCTTCATTCAACCAGTAGTAGAAATACTTGATTCAATGCATTCTCATTTTTGGAAAAGAAAGCAGTGTAGGGGAAATGAATTTTCACTCCTTTATTTTTAAGGGGTGT